CACTGAGGATAAAATGATGATAAAACCAGTCAAAGTTTCTTTATGGAACTTAAATTCTTACAGAACAGAGAAAATAAATATAAAATAAAAGAATATTATATAAACTTGTGAGGCAGAGGTGTTGCCACTGAGATAAATCCCAGCCCCTCATATATACTATTTTGACACATAATGATAATACATCTTTACTATTGCTAATGTAAAAATTGAAACACCAAAATGTCCCAAAATCTGAAACTTTCTGAGACACCCCATAGAAAATTCCACACCTGACCTTATACAATGTAAGACAGTTAAGATGCAGGTATCATACAAAAGGCTTATAAAATTACCTTCAGGCTACACACATAAGGTAGATATGAAGAATAAATGAATTTTGTATGTATACTTGGGTCTCATCTCCAAGATATATATACAATATATATCTATATATATTTGATACACACATATATATAATGTATATCAAATATATATACATATATATTGTATATATTAAATATCTAAAATCTGAAAAAAATTTAAAATGTGGAACATTTCTGGTCCCAGACATTTCAGATAAATGATACTCAAGCTGTTTATAATAAATAGAAGGTCTAAGGGCTGGGGATTTAGCTCCAAAATCAGTTAAAAAGTTAGTCTTGGAGAGAGTGAATTAGGGCACAAGTAAACAATGAAGCCAGGGTTGTAGGCAGGAAGAAATTGAAGTCACATCATGCCATATCTGTATGACTTTTATTCTAAATGTAATGAGATGGCAGTGCATGGTTTCATAGAAGCCATCTTATGTGGTTTTCTGTTTCTTTTTTTTTTTTGTTAATCACTGTAAAATCTTGGTAGGGATTAGACAGTGGGGTGGTGTATGTAAAAGCAAGATTAGAGTCATCCAAGTGAGCTGTTGTACTGGCTTGGGTTAAGGTAGTTAACTAGATTTGGGATTTATTTTTTTAGGTAAAACTGAGAGGAATCATTGCTATGAATATAATGAAAATAAGTATAAAAAATAAATGGTTTGAGCTGGGCGTGGTGGCGCACTCCTTTAATCCCAGAATTGGGGAGGCTGAGACAGGAGGATTGCTATGAGTTCGAGACCAGCCTGGGCTACATAGTGAATTCCTGGTCAGTCTCAACTACATAGTGAGATCCTGTCTCAAAAAAAAAAAACAAAAAAAAAACAATGAATGGCTTGGGCTTCAGGAAAGAATTGAATGGGAATGGCTGTTACCAAAATGCAGAGTTCAGTAGAAGCAAAGGTTGGTTCCTGGGACAGAGGGATATGTACAGAAATCATAACTTGGTCTCCACAGTTAGATGAGAAAAGTAGAAATGGCAAGTATGCCCTTTCTGCCTATTTTCCTAACTAGATAGAATAATCTTGAAATGTGTAGGTCTCAAAGCTGAGTGATTGTATTTAAACCACGAGTGGGATTGTCTGTGAAAAGATTGCCTCCAGAGGAATGGACAGAGAAATGAGATGAGAACCTCAATATCGAGTATAATATGACAGAGATGCAGGAAACACTGAAAAAATTATCCAGAAGGTATGAGAAAATGTGGAGAATGTGATTTCCTAGAAGGTTAAAAAAAAAAAAAAAAAAGACTCCAAGGGTGGCCAGGTGCCACATGCTGCTGGGAATCAGGCCATCCTGACAGAATCTGAAGGGGAATGTGGCATTTGAGGAGCATTACGTTTTCTCTTGATTTTGCTTTTCAGTAACACACAATGAAATGAACTTTTTGTCACTTAGTTCTATCAATTTTAACAGGATTTATGTGGCCACTATTTCAATAATAATTAAAACCAGTTTCATCAACCCCAGAAAAACCCCATGCCTAAAGTTTGGAAGTTGCTAATCTGTGCTCCATCACTGTTTTGTTTGTTAAGAATATTTAGATAGGCCCAGTATTTAGCTCAGTGTTTCCACTGCCTGCCTCGTAAGCTCAAGGTCCCGAGTTTGTTCCCTGGTACAAAAAAAAAAAAAAAAAAAATTAGATAAATAGACTCATATAGTATAGAACCTTTAATAAAATGCCTTTGAGATTCAACCAACTTGTTTCTTGCATAAAGAATAAGCTTTTTTTCTCTCTCATTGAGTTTATTGGTACATTTTAGGTATACAGAACAGTTACATTCATTATTGGGATTTTGTACCTTTACATGACAGGTCTTGGTTCTCATTTTTTTCCCATTGTCCCTGCTCTCCCTTCACCAAGTCCTCCCCTCCCCATTAAGAATATGCTTTTTGATGAGTAGTATTTTACTGTATTGAACATCAATACAATTGAATGGATTATTTATCCAGTAAAGAACATTTAAGATTTGAGATGTTTACGTAGTTTTCAGCAATTTATGAAGAACTGTTAAAAATGTTTATTTTTTCAGCCAATGAACTACAACTTTATTTTTCAGTTAATTTTATCGGTACACTTTTGATATACAGAGCGATCACATTCATCACTGTTAATTTGTACCTGTACGTATCTTGATTCTTCTCTTTTCCCTACACCCCTCCCTTCAACCCTTCTTCCCCTCATTCCCCTTCCTTCTTTCTCTCCCTTGCTCCTCTTCCCATCTGAACATTTTCTGCCTACTTCCCAATATCTATCATGCATTTTGTTTCTTATTTATACTTTCAATTTCTCACACAAGAAAAACAATGTGATATTTGAAAGTGTGTGTCTGATTTATTTCACTCAAAAGTATGGTCTCAAGATGCCTCCATTTACCTAAAATATGTCTCGAGTGTATCCTTTTGTACGGTAGAGTAGTACCTTATTGCATATAAAGACCACATTTTCTTTATCCATTCATTTGTAAATATAAAAACATTTATATACAGGCTTTTGTGAACTGAGATTTTCTCTTCAATAAATACCTGGGTCTGCAAAGTCGTAGAATAAGCATACATTTAAGTTTCATAAAAGTGCCAAACTATTTTTTGGAATGATTATAACATAAGTTATTGTTTTTATTCATAATTTTTAAAATAGAAAAGTTTTATTTTTGAAAAAAAGGTAAAAGTCAGACTTATATGGGGAATTTCTTGATTTTTAAAAACACCTTAATAAGTGAATTCTGTATATCTGCTGGCTACTAGTTGTCTGGTCTTGATATAACTCAATTCCTAAAAAATGAGAAGCAGATATATAAAATAATTTACTAAAATGTTAGATATTCTGGCTTTAAATTTTCTGGTTTTTTTCTATTATAACATACTATTTCTCATGATTATTACTCTGGGGAGAAATATGTTACATTGATAGTCAAATTGTTTTCCATTTACACATGTTATTACACAAGAAAACTTTCCTGAATTAGAATATTCTCTCTTAGTAAGTCTATTATCTTGGGAACATTTTTATCTTTTCTTAACTTCATATTTTTAATCTGTTAATCAAAAAATCTTAAGGTTACTTATATTCATTTCTATCTCATAGGGCTAGGCATTCAAGTGAGAGTACTTACAATATTTTCATTTAATTGCAATAATATCATTCAAAAAGAAATTTTAAAATGAGTGTTAAACTAAACTCAGCTAACTGAAAGCTGAAAGCAGAAAAATAATGTAGTACAACAAGCCGGCCTGGGAGACCTGGCTTCTAATGCCAACAGTACCATAATGCTATTAAAGAAATAGTTCTGGATCTAAAGATCTGTGTACCTTTTCTACTACTAGAAAATTAATTTAAAATTTATCTACCTAAAAAGTACATTTTAATGTATGACCAAAATTCAGTCCTCTTCACATTTTCAATCTTTCTTTTAGTTTCCTGATTTTGCTCAGCCTTAGATTATCTCTAAACCCCAAAGGGAACGTTCTTACATTCAACAGTAAATTGATTAGTATTATCTTTAGTTGATTCAATCACTCAAGACTAATGTTGAGCATCTGTTATGAGCTGGTAATGCAAGATAATCGTGGCACAGTGGGTCGAGGACGATGACGGGTGCACACTTGGTGCTTGGGGAGCCTCCAAGGCTACAGAGGGAGCTGGAGCTCCAGGGAGATGATGAGCTCTTTAGTAGTTAATCTAGGCCGTTTCACTGATGATGTATGCTTTCACAGAGCCCCACTATCCCAACTACTCTTGTCCTATTCTTTCCCATCTTTCTTCTAAAGAATTCAAGAATTAACACTAGCAGGAAATAAACTAACGTAGACACTCTTGGTAAGAAGAGTATTTCCACACAATGCAAATAAAAAATGATATATTATGATAGCAAGACCAGCAGTCGGTGCAATTCTATATTTTTAACATTGATTTGAAATATTATTTGATTTCTCATTCCTCACTTACCAAATCAGTGAATTTCATGGTCCTATGCTCAAGACAGTTGGCATTAATGTGCTGAGGTCAATGTTTAACACTATATCTCATATTATTAGTATAAACCAGGATTGGAAAATTGGTTTTTAAGATAAAATATATTAATAAAATAGATGAGTATTATTTACATCAAAGCTGATTAGCATATCAACAGGGCACTAATTTTATATATATATATATATGATCAGTTAATTCACTGGTTTTGTGTATGTACTTTGTTCCAAGGCTATTTTTAACAGCAGTTTCATATATTCATAGACCCTAGAAAGGATAGATAATAATATACCATTAGCTGAGGATAAAAAAAGTCAGTGGTAAACAATCTGTTTACCTTCTGGTCATTGATTGAACAAATATATATTTTATATTCTGAAAATACTGACAATTCTCTCAGTTCCTTTAAGATAAAGGTTTAATAACCACTGGTGTACTCATTACCTTTCTACATTGCTTAATCAATTTAACATCATCTATGCATGTATTAGTACTTCAATATGGTATAGCCATTTATAATGCTTAATAGCTCTTAAATTTTTACTTTCATATCAACAAAGTGTTGATAAATTTCCAATGAAGTTTGTTATCCTCTCACAATGAAAGTGTGGCCATTGTTGACATATATTCAGGTTTCTCTTTTGTTATGTTAATGACCCTCTTTCGCTTGTTTTGGAAAGGGATTGAATTGGAAATTGTCAATAGCTGTGAAAAGAACAATGGCCGCTGCTCCCATCACTGTGAACGTGCAAGTGGTGGGCCCCCTTGTTCCTGTAACCATGGACACCAGCCGGATTCAGAAGAGAAAACATGCATAGGTAAGTTTGGCAAATGCCATCTTTGTTCAAAAATTGCTGTGAATTAATTTATGCCTTTTAACTTAATACTTACTGTTTAAGAGCCACCTCTCCTAAACTTCAAGAATTAGATTGAACAGAGTCTTTGGCTACTTGGATAAGAGTAAAAGAAAAAATTACTTGGCAGACAACATCACAGTTAGAAATTGCCTCAAAATTTATGAGATTAAGTGTGTTTTACCAAAATAAATGGGATTAATAGTTTTATTTTCAAAAAATATTCAAAGGTCTGTCTAATTATTGAATGTAATTTGTATCTTAACAACAGATGCTACTGTGTATCCCATTTTTCCCTATGTTATGTGCAAAGAAACTCATTGCTTGGCTTTTAACTTAGCAATGGTTTGAAAGTTTACTTGCAGGAACATTGTTGAAAAAAACTGAAATAATCATTCTTTGGGCATCCCAGTTGAAACCATTTCAGTAGGTAACTTTCCCAATATATTAAAATTTATGTCATTTGGAACAATGGTCTCCCCTTATAATGAAACATTTAACCTATACCTTTTGAATAAAAAAAAGAATGGAACGTCTATTTTAAGTAGGGATAGCAAACATCACATATTTTTGTGTGCCCTGGTTCTAAGGACATTTTCAGGCTCTAAGCAGTGATTTGTTATACTTAGGAATTATGACACTGTACTTGCTTGTCTTCTTCTGTGATACTTTGTGTTTCCTATCTTTAAAATTATAATATGAATGCTAAAAAATCCTTTGTCCATTTTATGCTATTCAATAAGTTGATAAACAATTTAAAGTACAAGTATAGAGGTGACATTCAATAGTTTAAGTATTCGACACTATGATTCTAAACAATGAATCTCAGTGAATTTTACAGTATTCAGGTTTACTAAATTATGTTAGCAAAAACAGTGTCGTTATTTGTTTTTCTTCATACAGCATTGTTTTCTACTTTGCTGTCAGAGTCTATACAGTTTAACCTGTAGAAACCAATTGCTTTTTTTGGCTTCTTTCTATGTAATGAAGATCTACACCTTTTTGCCCTACCTTGGCAATGTTCATGTTTATGGAAATACTGGAGACTCCCTTTCTTCTGTCCTTTCTCCCTTCTCCCATCCTTCTTTCTCTGTCTTCACTCCATCCTTCCCTCTCCCCTCTGTATTTGCTCTTTACTCAAGTATTGGCTGAGGGAAACTGAAATTTTGCTTCACCTTTTATTTGTGACATAATTTGGTGTCGTCTTTAGCTTTTGAAAAAGTAGAATTTAGTAAATTTCTTATTCAAAGCTAGAAAAAAAATAACACTTGCCAGGGTCAAAATGCAAACATTGCATATTTATGAGATGTCAGAAATCACCATGAAAATGCTACATTGTTTATGATTCAAGTTTATTTAATTTTCCAACAATGAAAAATTTATTTCTAAATACCAAATATTCACTAGACACTGATTCATTTGGATTGCCCACGTAAATACTTTGCTTATTTGCATAGAATTAGATTAAAGCTATGGATGCTTTGTAAAAATATGCACGAAGAAAATGAAAGAATTTTTTTAGCTTATTTCAGTATCAGCTATTTTTCAAAATATGAGAATGTGCAAAGAACTGTGAAAATATGTCAACCAACCTGCAAGTAGTCAACTGGTCTTGACCAAATGCAAAAACTCAGTACCAAAATCTAGATGGGTATCCACACAATTTGAAAGAAAGTTATAGATATGTGAAATGCAAATATTTTTCACCAGCAATAAATTCAGTAAATTTAACAATTGATCAGTTATTAGAATTTTTAAAATCTCTATCCCATGAAGCTTTATTCAGTGACTATGTTAGAAGGATAGAGGATGAAGATTTTCATTTAGATGCTTTTATGAAGTCAGAGCTGAAATATATATATTTTTGGGGGGTGTGGCTGCAATTGGTGCTCCACTCTCAATTAATGCTGAATTTTCATGTGCACATAAATAGTACATGTTCCTATGTCATTCAACACTTGACATATTGGGCAGTTTAGATAAAATATGATCACCAAAGGATAGGAAAATTAAAAGGGAAAATAAGGAATCAAAGATTTCTCCAAATAAGATCTGAATAGAAATTTTCTCAGCTACCTCATCTTTGACAAAGGAGCTGACCATCTCCACTGGAGGAAAGATAACCTCTTTAATAAACAGTGTTGGAAAAACTGGATCTCAGCCTGCCAAAGTTTAAAACTAGACCCTTATCTCTCACCATGCACTAAAATAAAATCCAAGTGGATTAAAGATCTAAATATTAAAACAGAAACACTAAACTTGCTGGAAGATAAGTTAGGCAGAATTCTTGAAGACATTGGTATAGGAAAAGACTTCATGAACAAATCCTCACTAGCATGGGAGCTAGCAGAAAGAATCAACAACTGGGATCTCATCTTATTAAAAAACTTCTGCACTGCAAAAGAAACCATCAACAGAACTAAGAGACAACCTAAAATGTGGGAAAAAATTTTTACCAGCTGCTCCTCAGGCAAAGGACTATTATCTAGAATATATAAAGAACTAACTCAAAAAAATCAGCCTCCCAAAATATAAACACCCAATTCAAAAATGGGCATCTGAAATGAACAGACATGTCTCAGACAAAGAAGTAAAAACAGCAAGTAAATATATGAAAAAATGTTCCACATCACTGGTCATTCGAGAGATGCAGATGAAAATAACACTGAGATTCCACTTCACCCCACAAAGAATGGTTGCTATCAAGAAATCACACAATAAAAAATGTTGACAGGGTTGTGGGGAGAAAGGAACCCTTCTCCATTGTTGGTGGGAGTGCAGACTGGTGCAACCACTATGGAAATCAATATGGAGATACCTCAAAGAGCTGGGACTAGAGGTCCCATTTCACACAGCCATCCTCTGCTGGGTATCTTTCCAAAAGAATTTAAAAAATCATACCACAGTGACATGTGTGCACCCATGTTTATAGCAGCACAGTTTGTAATAGCTAAAACATGGAAATAGCCCCTTTGCCCATCAGTTGGAAACTGGATAAAGAAGAAGTGTTTTTTCTATAAAATGGCATACTACTTAGCCATAAAGAATGAGAAATTAGATTCATTCATAGGAAAATGGATACATATTGAGGATATACTCCTAAGTGAAATAAATATGTCACACATGTAAATACCAAATAGTTTTTCTGGTGTAAAAAACTATAATAGTACATAAGATCCTAATGAGATAATTAACAATGTGAAATAGGAAGAAAAGGGCTAAAGGTGTAGGGAAAGTGGGAAGGGTAGGGGAAAGGGAATAAGGGAAAAGAAAAAAAATAGGAGAAAATGAAAAAATGGAAATAAAGTGTTTGTTAATGGAGAGGGGAGGAGTGGATGAAGGGAGGGCAGGGACAGGGGGAAAAAATGAGAACCAAGACCTGTCATGTAAAGGTACAAGATCCCAATAATGAATGTAACTGTGCTGTATACCTAGAATGTACCAATAAACTAAAAAAAAAAGAAATTTTAAAAATTAGAAAACAGTTGATGTGAGGGTTGAAGTCACAGAGCATTTGAAAAAGGTGTGGGAAGAGCCGGGGTTCACATCTATTTTGGTAGCAGGGACTGAACTTGGGTCCTTGTGCTCGCAGGGCAGTCACTAGAACCCTTGAGCTAAATCCCCAGCCCTCATCGGAGGTTTAGATTGAAGATGGTATCCATGAGAAAAGCAAGGGAAAGCCCCAAAAGAATGACAGCAAAGTTAAATTTCAAAATAGATCATGAAATAACAGTCAAACTGTGAAACTTATTCTCCAATTATTTGATGCAGTTGTGTTCCTTGCTAGCTGAGACCTTTGTGTGTAGACTTGTTCAAAATGTGGAAATTTAATTAAACATTTGGAAATTTAAAAAACATATGGATAATATTTTAGAAGAAACAATTTGTAAAAATTTTCTAATCTCTCTGTCCAAGCTATTTAAAAAGCAAACAAAGTTTTCATGTAAGAAAAGGAATATCATTTGTAATGTTTTGAGTGGCAGTGCTTGTGACATTTTACAAGAGAAAGAATGTTTTGTGTCCAAGTGACCTTCATTTAGATATTTTATGGTGACCCTTGCCTTGATTGACTGATTGCATTTTTCTTTCCTTCCTGTCTCTTGTCTTCATTTCCTTGGGTTGGTACCTTTTCCAAGGTTAATTGAGACACTGACCTTTTTTTATCTGTGGCTGCTCATGTACTTATAGAGAAATAGGATTCTGTAAACTCAGCAGTGACAGGCCACCCAACTTAATAGCTCAACAAACAGAGAGAGTTGAATTGAACCAAGGGCTTAAAGCCAAAAACCTTGACCATATAATTCCCAGATGCCCAGACTAAGGAAAACAGAAGCAGGTTTCTGTGCTACACTTTGGCCGCTATGTTAGAAATAGTCACTTCAAAACTTGGGCCAATTAGATTGTTCATTGGCTGAAGAGTTTCTGTTTGACATCTTAAGGTTCATTTGTGTTTTCCCTGGGGCAGATATATATTAAGAAGAAGCATTTAGGAAAATAGAATTATAGAAGAGTTGTGCTGAAAGAGGATTAAGGCTCACTATTTAGAAAACTACTAATCTGACAATATATTCCAGAATAATATCACAATTACAACAACAACAACAACAACAAAACAGACTTCATACTTCCTGGTCAAAGCACCATATAAATATGTAAGCAAATGCTCTGAAATATTCTATCATTTGAAACTTAGTATTGAAAATAATCATTGTTCCCTCTCTGAACTGTACTTATCACTTCTGTTCCCAGTTGCTTGTGAGAGGGAATCTTGGGGATACTCATAGATCTGAAATAGTAGAGGAATACATACACTATGGAATCAAGACTGTCACCTTTTACTAGCCGTCAAATATTACTAAGTGGAATTTGGGGCTCTTTTTTCTCTTGCTGTTGTTTTGTTCTTCAAGTTCTCTGCTCTTTCATTTAGATCACTGTCTAAACTGGAAAAATGTCCAAATCTCTTTTCCTATGCTTATAAAATGCATTTGGGGGTTATTTACATTCTTTTACAGTCAACAATGGGTAGAAAAGTTCATGAGAAAATATAAACCAAAAGTGGGTCTTACTGCTTTTGTGTTATAGTTCAATCTCTTTACTATATGAACTGAGAAATGGAATGTTTTAATTTGGAAATAAGGCTCCTCGGAGGATCTAAAGGTATATGAAATCCCTGTATTGCCAGTAACAGAAATTGTCCTTTTCTCCTTCAGACCTTGATGAATGTGAAAATGGAGAAGCCTGCTGTGCTCAGCTCTGCATCAACTACTTAGGAGAATATGAATGCAGCTGTCAGGAAGGCTTTGTGATCAGTTCTGATGGGTGTGGATGTGATGGTAAATTCCTGAGTGCTAACAGGAAAAAACTGATGTCATGGCGCAATTAATGGAGAAGAAACTCTTGGGTGGAGTAAAGAGATTTTGCTCTACTTGGCTCTAGGTTTACTAGTGCATGAACTTGGGCAGCTCCTACTTTGGTGTGCTTCAGGTCCTCAATGGTAAAGTGAATACAGTAATAAGGTCAGTGGGTAAAATAGGAATGCAATGTTAATTGCCTCATAATTGGCTGACATAGAGAAATCACTTTACTGGAAGTAGCTATTATTATTATTAACATCATATTATTGGTTCATAATCCCTTTAACCTAATATAGAATCTATTTAATATATTATATAAAATCATTTATAATATATACAAATGAGAGTTTCTGGACAGTCAGAACATTCTGTCATAGGAATCATCCCTAATCAGCTTTACTGGAATCAGATAGTTGGTTACTGAAAATCATTTTCAATGTTTTTTTAATTAGAAAGCAGTAACAAATGGATTATGATTTCATGAGCAAATATCTGTACCAGAGTGCCTTGTATATCTAATACTAATATAATGAAAGCAAGTTATAAAGATGAATCATCTAGTATAATTGTTAGTATTAGTTCACTTGCCTTTCATATGATTTCATGCTTATGGTTTTTGTAATTTAATATAAGGGAGTTTGAATGTAATGAGTGTGGTTAATTGATTTTGTTTATACCATTAAGAATAGCTCACATAAGTCATTGATGTGATTTACTTACTTAAAATTTATCTTTAAAAAATCACCTTCAAATTTTCATTTCATGATCATCATTATTAATTGGAGCTACATTTTTCTCAAAATCAAAGCAAAGACAAGAATATTGATATCTACCCCAATGTCAAATAAAATACATAACTTTAATGTCTCCGAGAAAATAGTACCCCCCCAAACAACATGCCTGATTTCTGTTTAGGGTGACAAGTGAGTTTTTTCATGTATGTAGCTTCCTCAACCTTGCAGTATAAATAAAATAAGAGCACAACACATAACTATGATAGCTATATATACTAAGCACAGTAGAGTATATTACCATTTATGATATTCCATCCAATTAACAGAGCCAACAAAAACTTTTTGAATTTATGTGCCATCTGTTCTCAAGCAGACAAAGCCAAAAAATGATTGTCTTGCATGAATGTACTTACTCACATGCACCCATCTAAATAGAGAAGGTATCCACAAGCTAAGGTTAAGCTTAGAAATTCAGCCACATTTTTAAACTTTTGGTATCTTGTACATATGCAATGGCCAAAGTCTAAAGCAATGTGAGCAAGTCAAGGCTTAGAAGTTCTTCCATATCTTAAATTTTCCACAGTACTTATACAGAACTATCCATAGAATAAGTGTTCCAGTACACATTTAAATTAAAGAGTGAATGAACATGCTGAAAAATGATGCACTGCCTAAAACTATTGAATTTGCTTTATGCTCTTCACCTAAACTTCGTAGGCAAGATCTCAGGAAGCCTTGCTTATGTAGATGAATGCAGTATGGTTAGAAATAAGTGAGAGATAAATAATTGACAGGAAATACATGAAAAAATTTGGTGCTACACTGGCTTTCTATATAGCAAGGCTGTTATTATTGGTTGATAAAGGTCAGAGAAGAAACATAAAAAACAAATATTGTTCTAATTTTCCTAGATGTGGTTGAGTGTCTGATAGTGGGAACATATGAGTGTACCTGTAAAGAAGGCTGCAGAATTGGCAGTGACATGAAAACTGCCCAGTGAAAGTCACTGAAGAATGTTACCACGTCTCTTCCGAAGGACTTCCACCGTGTCTTGTTCTTCAGAACAGTGGAGACCTCCTAGTCCTTAATGCTACCTATCTTTCCCTTTCTCCTTACAGACTGAAATCTTTCTTCCTTTTTCTTTTGTTCTCTCTGCCACAGCTTCAATTTTGTGCCAGCGTGGTCTCACCCTCATTTACAGGAGACTTCTGAAATGCTCATATGTTACCCCCTGCCTTGGCTGTCTACTTCAAACTCTCATTTCTGTCTCAACCTTCCTCTGTGTTTCCTTCTTCTATCCAATACAATGAAACTAAGCTTTTTTTTCTCTCTCTCTCTCTCTCTGTGTGGTCTTAGCTTTAGATGATGGTGAACTAGAGGGACAAAAAGTTTTAGAAGTTGCGAACTTTCCAGGCTTTCTAATCCAGAGCCCACCTCGTTTCCTTCATTATGTTGCTACCTCTCTGACTCCTTCTTATGAAGATGAAGAGGAAGAAGAAGAAAAAGATTTACAAGGACTCATTGTTTTGCCCAAAGTTGGTGAGTCAAAGAATGTATCTCATTATACCCACCTCTCCTTAGTATTACTCAATTCATATCTTGTTATAATTTCATTATCAACACTCAAAGCCATCAAATATTTTAACATAAAGTTTGCAAGAAAAGTGGGGCAAAAATCACGTTTTTGGGGTTTCATATCAAGCCTATGATTTTTTATCTTCTTTCTACACAGTAAAAAGGCACATTATATGTATACATATTTAAATTGCATAGTAGGGAGAAGAATTGGGAGCTTTTAATTTTTCTAATTATTAAAACTCTACTACAAGTCTCTTATATAATTAAAATTCACTTTAAATATCCTTAAAGTATAGTTTTCTTCTAGATTTTTAAAATACAGAGAGACAATTGTTTACTATGCTTAGGTAGACCAAGAAAATATCTTAAAAATTTGACCAGTTTTTCTTATATATCCCAAAATAGAACTCAAGCATCAAATCATTTTAGATCAAAATAAATTAGCACAGCCCCTATCAAAAGTAACTGTGAGCTAGGCATGTTGATCCATGCCTATACTTTTAGCATTTGAGAGGCTGAGGTAAAAGGATTACAAATGTAAGAGCAGCCTTGGCTACATACTATGTTTAAGGCTGGCCTGGACCATGTGGTGAGACTGTCAAAAAAAGAAAAGAGGAGGAAGAAAAAGGAAAAAAGAACAGTTTTTTGCAGCCACTCCACAACTATATTTTCTTTTCTTTATAAAACAGAAACTCTTTTCATTCTACCCATATTTGTTGAAATTAACAATATCAAAGTTTAATGGGTGCTTTAGGAGGCATTTAGTAGAATAGCAGAAATATCTTGATGCTATAATATGGTATTAAGATTTACATCACTGTGACAAATTACCTGACATATAAAACATAAAGAAAGGATTTATTTGGACTAACCTTTTCAAAGATTTCAGCCTGTGACCCCCTCGTTCCACACTTACGCACCTAAGGTCAGATGGAAAAAATCGCTCACCTCATGGCAACCAGGAAGCAGAGAGAGGTGAAAAGAGTCAGACAGAAGAGACTAGGGACCAGATATAGTCCTTAAGGTCATGCCCTCATGATCCACTCCCTTCAAGTAGGCTCCACCTCCTACTTCCATCATGTCTTAATAATTCCATCGAATTATGATCTTATAATGGATTAATCCACTGATGAAGTAAGAGTTTTCATAATCCAAACATGTCTCTAAGTCCCATCTCTGAAAATTGCTACACTGAAGATCAAGCCCTCACTATATGAGTTTTTTTTGGCAAACTTGGCATTTAAACCATAACATATGGCTAAATCATTATAATAATAACAAAACACACCAGAGAAACTATTTGGTATATACACATGTGTGACTTATTTATTTCACTTAGGAGTATATCCCATTTTCCTATGAATGAATCTAATTTCTCATTCTTTGTGGCTGAGTAATATTCCATTTTATAGAAAAACCACTTCTTTATCCAGTTTCCAACTGATGGGCAAATGGGCCTTTCTAAGTTTTATCTATTACAAACTATGCCACTATAAACATAGGTGTGCATATATATCTGTGATATGATTCTTTTAATTCTTTTGGAAAGATACCCAGCAGAGGGATGGCTGGGTCAAATCGAACCTCTTGTCCCAGCTCTTTGAGGTATCTCCATATTGATTTCCATAGTGATTGCACCAGTCTGCACTCCCACCAACAATAGAGAAGGGTCCCTTTCTCCCCACAACCCTGCTAACATTTGCTATTGTTTGATCTCTTGATAGCAGCCATTCTTTGTGGGGTGAGGTGGAATCTCAGTGTTGTTTTCATGTGCATCTCTCAAATGACCAGTGATGTGGGTTTTTTAATAAGAAAATTTGCCCTAGGCTTTGTGATTGGTTTAGAAGATGGTTTAAGCAGATTTCCTTTTGTACTTCATTCATGAGAGTAAAAAGAGCACAAATAATTTATTTGATAAAATATAAATAAAAAACAAGAGTTACTGCATAGTAAAGACCATGGCTTAGCCAGGGTTACCAGTTAGGGTTTGGGGGCTCTCCCTCAAGCCTTCCTCTGATTTGTTTTTCTTCTGCTTCAAGTCTTTTAAGAGTAGCCAACCTCCCTCCCCTAAGGTGCACACTTCTTAGACATTCTGCAGCAGCCATCTAAGATTAGGCTCTCACCAATCCTTCTTGACTTTTAACCTAACCACAGCTCTTTTCCCACTTTATTATTTCTGGGAAACTAAACCACACTTAATACTCTATACTTTTCAGCTTTGTGCCTTTTGTCAAATTGTTATCTTCAAGGATCTCTTGTTATTTATCACATGAAGCTTTATATCATGAGCCCAGTTGGGTACAATTATTTATCTTTCTGTTGGATTTAAAGTCATTCTTTCTCTATATTTGATTAGCTTCTCCTGCTAGACTGCTAACTCTCTGGCCTGGTGTTGTTGATGTTTATTTATTGTAAATTACTCCACAATGGAGGTGCACACACTGCCTGAGTGAACATATGACAAAAACAAAGAAAACCTTGGTTTCAAGATTCCCAGCTACATTGACCTGTCACTTAACACATCCAGTTTTATAAAATTAGAATCAAGCAAACATTATTGTGTGATTATTAGAAAGCAAGAATAAGTCGTGTTCATAAATATGCATCCTCCAAGCACTTGATTCTTACCCTGGTAATATGAGAAATAAAACTAAAGGACCAACCTCAAATACATCAGAATAAAACATCTCCAATCCAAAAAACCTACTACAGAAATTTTAAAAGTTAGGAACCTAATAAAATAAAGACAACATGGCCCCTTACTCAGTTTTGGAAAATCTGTTAAATGCTGGTGTGTTCCTTGGAACACGAGTTTGCTCCTGAGAGCAGAAGCTTGTATCTTCTTTGTACTTTCTCTCTATCTTCTTTATTTCTCTTTACAAAAAGTACAACCAAACAATCCAAATTAACCAGCCAGAGATAAAAATGTTCACTAATTCTTTGAAATTCTTTTTTTTTTTCCCGGTACCGGGGATTGAATGAAATTCTTAAAAATTCTTATAAGCTGCAATACATATTAGTAATCAACCACATATTACCCATATTTTTAAGAATACCCAGCTTTTTAAAAAGAGCAAAAAAGATTTTAAAATGAATACTCAGCAGGGATTAGGAAATTAAATTTTGCCGCAAAGTAGATCCTTAGCCCAGTATCTTTGTCAGTCTAGATATAAAAATATCTACTTTCACTTTTTAGGAGTGTCTCCAATTAATTACAAGGAAACATTTTTTTTTCTCATTGAGTTTATTGGTACATTTTAGGTATACACTACAGTTACATTCATCAATGGGATCTTGTACCTTTACATGACAGGTCTTGGTTCTCATTTTTTCCCCTTATCCCTCCCTTCCTTCGCCCCCTCCTCCCTTCCCTATTTACAAATATTTTATTTCCATTTTTTCATTTTCTCATATTTTTTTCTTTTCCCTTATTTCCTTTCCCCTACCCTTTCCAATTCCCCTGCACCTTTAGCCCTTTTCTTCCTATTTCATATTGTCAATTATACCATTAGGATCTTATGTACCATTATAGTTTTTCCGACTAGAGAAACTATTCGTTATTTACACATGCATGACTTATTATTTCACTTAAGAGTATATCCTCAATATGCATCCGTTTTCCTACGAATGACTAATTTCTCATTATTTATGGCTGAGTAGTATTCCATTTTGTAGAAAAACCGTATCTTTATCCAATCTCCAACTAAGGAAACAATTTTAAAGTACCATATATGATTTAATTTTAATAGCAGATTTTTAGAACTTCATTTTCTAAAGACATTTAATTTAAAATTATTATTGTAGGATTAGTGGAAAGGGAGTAAGAGTAGTTTCACATAACAAATGAGTGTACTAGAACGTTATATGTCCTCTAACTCATCCTTTTGTGGTTTGGGATGTGTTTGTTTTAAAATTTTCTTCTTCAGGACCTGTGCATTTGTCTCTTTTTTTTTTTTTCTTTTGGTACCAGAAATCGAACTCAGGTCCTTGTGCTTGTGAGGCAGGCGCTGGAACCACTGAGCTAAATCCCTGGCCCTGTGCATTTGTTTGTAAAGAAATATTGGTCACATTCTTGAGCTTTAAGATAGCTCAGTCTACTTGTGGAGCAGTGTTTGGTATAAGAGTTGGCTTGCTTACATTGATGGCCCTTAACCTAGGAACTCTGGAAACCTTTTCAAATTCTTTAGCTTTGATTACCAGTATTATTTTTTTAGAATCATCTCTTCTATGTTTACTGTAAGAGTTAGAGACTTAACAAAGTAATTTAACAATGTAGACATCAACGAATATTCCATTCTGGTCTCTTCCTCTCCTCTTCCCTCTCTCCTCTTTGGCTCCCTTCGTTCCTTTTCCTTGCCTTTCATAATTGCCTATGGCTTAAATACAAAGAAAAAGGTAAATAGGAAGCTAAGTTCTATATTAGTATTCAAAGTGGTGGGGAGGGAGGTGAGAGAGGAGATACATAAATAAAGTTTCGTATTATTTATCCTATTATGATAAAATGTCAATAAAAATGATTACTGAAATTACCTGAACATCTCTACTCAAGTTAAAATAAAGTCCTAGATATTTTTCTCAATATATATTTTATTCAAACACTAAATGCTTCTCCAAAACCTCCAACAAACCAGAGAAAATTGATGTTTGCCTAACTTCATCAATCTTTGACAATGCAAAGTACTTTAAGACCTCAAGAGAACCTTAGCTGGATTCATTCCTGTTTAAAAATAGACGACTTTGTTTTCTGTTTTTCCTTACAGTTTTTCAAAACAAGAAGATAGTTTGTTTCTCATCAAGGTAGTTAGAGTTTACAGTTAAGATGTCTGGGAAGCTTTGAAAATGTAAAGGTTAGAGTTTAAGGAATGAGGTATATTTTGCATTTGAGCCTTGTTAACAGTTCCTTCAGTCATCATTATTTTAAATAGCAGTATCAGTAATCCCCTGGGAATGATTATGTCACACAAACTCAGAATATGCCAGAGATTTTCCTGTGTCTGCAAGCTACTGATGTTTTAATTACTTGGTATCCATCCTAACAGGAAGTCAAACTTTTCTTCCCCTTCCACCTGTAACATGAAAAGTGTGTTACAATACTTGTTCATCTTTCCTGTTTTCTTCCCAGCTTCTCCCCCAGAGACTAATGGGAAAGGGTGTGGAAACATCTGTGGTTGTCAGAATGGAGGCTCTTGTTATCCTCTGACCCTGCGGTGCCAATGTCCCCCAGGGGTTTGCGGGAAAACTTGTGAAGATGGTAGGGATTTCTGGTGCCAGTCACACAAGACCAGTTTTTAATTTCTTGGGGATTTTAATGAGGTGATGTAAGTGAAAGGTGCATCTTTATTTTTCAAAGTGTTTTTTTTTTTCCAAAAGAGTAACCCTTGTTACAAGAATACAGTGCTTTGACTAATGCCACGTGTAAATGAACAAAATAGGTGATACTTAACTCACCAGCTGTGCTCTAAGCTGACACACAAAAAAGCTTCCCCCACCCTTTTTTTCCATTGAACAAAAAGTTGAGATTGTATATGCAGGTTTGGATGCAGCACCTGGGGAGAATTTATTTGCTCTGCATAATAAAAGCGAAAAATGAAGCCTCTAAAGTGAAGAGAGAAGAAAGAATATGAAAATCAGAGAATAAAGGATAGGAGATAGATCAAGAAAAGAAACATGATGAATGAAACTCTCACAAATTGCCAGTGCATTCTGTGCATGGATTTTTTTCATGGGAACCAGTGGAGAGACCACATTTCCTACATGGGATGGCCAAGCACACACACACAAAAACAAAATGCTTCTTCAGAGACAAGAGTTAAAGGCAGAAAATCAATGAGGACATCAGTCTCCAGGGATTGCCAGAAATCATGGGGAGTTTATAAGAATCACAGTCTGTGGAACTAGGGAGATGGAAACCAGATTCACTTCATGTTCTGAGGTCCAGGAAAGTTTCTGCTGGCATCCTGGTTACTTGTTCCTGCGAGTAATATTTGTTTATTTATTAAAAATACTAATTGGTCGCAAAAAATGTGCTAGGCAATCTGATGTGACCTTTAAAAAGAAATAGAAAAGATTCTGGTTTCTCCGAGTAGAACTTACGATCTTGTTTGAGACAAACATAGGTCACAAAAGTTGAAAAGCTTTAAAAATTAAATATTAATGCCTGGGTGGAAGTGAGACAGTGTGTAAAACCAGGAGAGCATTCTGGAGGAGTGACACTTAAAGAGAAGCATGCAGGATGAAGAGAAATGAGACAGGGGAAGAGGAAGAGAAGAGCACTTGAGATCTCTCTTGCTTCAGTCCAACCAGATATGAAACATTTCACTTTCTTCAAGCTTCTCATTTCATATAAAAACAGCTCCAGCAAGTTTTGCATGTGGGTTAATATTTGTCTTGTTTACTCTTCACCCTCCAGGAGGCCTGAGAGGATCCTTTGGGAAGAACTGCAAAAGCAAATGTAACTGTGCCAACAATGGCCATTGCCACAGGATGTATGGTACCTGTGTGTGTGAGCCTGGGCGCTGTGGAAAGTTCTGTCATCTGCGTAAGTCACAAACACTAATCCCTCTCTGTGTGAAGCATAACAGCACAGAGAAAGACAAAGGAGCAGGGAGAAGCCACCCTATATGTTGATATATAGTAGAGAGTATGTTCTCATCTTTATTTAGCCTCTTTATATTACAGACTCTAAATGCTGATGAATGAAAAACTCTCCAAATGTTTATATTATTTCTAGTTAATATTTCTATTAATTATTGAGCAATGATTATTCATAGTTTGTTTAGCACATTTGATGCTTTACAAAAGTCAAATACCAAAGGCCCGGAACAAGTCTCCTGGCTCAAGTGCAAAACAGTATTATTCCTTAAGATTTCTAAAAAGGGTTCTTCATTTGGTATTCTGAAAACCAGTCACATTTTGCAAAAGATTCAAGAAAGCACATTCAGCAATCAATCAATAGATCAGTCAATAAATACATCCTGTCATATCTTTTAGGATTTCTCCCACCTGAAGGATTTATCCACCTGAAGCTGTGTGCAGGGTACATGAGCCTGAAATGACCTCAGCCCACTACTCTACCTATTCTAAATCCCTCCTCTTCCTATTGAAAGAATGAATCCTCTGAGAGTCTTTCCTGAGGGAGCTTTAGCATCTTAGATTGTTAGGATGCTGTGACAGAACATCATAAGCAAAGTAGTTTATAAATAACAGAAATTTATTTAATTCTGGAGGCCGAGAAGTCCAAGATCAAAGCACTGCAGGTTCTGGGTCTCCTACTTTCTGCTTCAGAGACAGTGCCTTTCACCATATCCTAATATAGGAAGACAAGCAAAAGAGCTCGAGGATTCTATTGTAAGATCATTGATCCCACTCAGGAGGGCTCCATTCACATAACATAATGTCCCAAATACCATCATCATGATGAATTTTGGTAAGACGGAAACATACATGCGGTTACTCTCAATAGTAGCATGACCATCCCTTAATGAGACACTTTAGAGTTTTATAGTTTAGCTCTAGTTGAATGTCCATGGGTCTTATCTGTATATAAAAGGCATGTCCCAGGAGAACAGGGAATTTATTGTGAATACCCCAATAAGAGAGGCTAGGAATCACTGAAAACTGATATTGGATCATGAAGCAAGGTTAGCCTTTGATAAACAAAATAAAAAAGAAAGGAGCAAGGCATGGATAAGTGAGTAGTGGAGGTGCATATGTTATGTTCCAGAATATCAGATACCTCCTCAAATGTGAACAGAGGAGTAGACTGGCCTAGAAATACAGTGCCATTTTTATTACTGTTCCTAAAAGATAGCAAGATATACTGCATGTTTGGTTATACCTTTCCAGTATTTTATAAGACCATATCAGATATTTGGTCTGAAAGGATAAATCATAACACATAGGCCAAAAATTTAAAGAGGTAATTTTTTAGAAATATATAAAATTGAAGTTTTAAAGATTTCAATATCAGCCTAGCATACTTTTATTAGTCTACAGGCCCTGGGGAGTTGAAAGTAAGGAGAAAAATCCAGCGAGCGGGTTTGTTGGTGGCGGTGATGGTAGTACTGGTGGAGATCATTAGTATTTTGAATGTGACCATATTCAGGAGAACATATATATTCTAATTCTTTAGGGCTCCATTAGTTTTGGGCTGGAAGCTTCATTATTAATATCACTTGGCTGGCCCTGAGAAGATTGAGTTTGCAATTCTGCTTTAGTTATTCTAAAGCTATCATAGCTAAGCATTACACACTGAATGCCTTATGCAACAAAAAGTTATTTTTTCACAGTTTAGAGACTAATTTCAAGGGGTCAGCAAGGCCATGCTCCCTCTAACTAGGCCAAGGAAGGATCTGTCCACACTTCTCCTAGCTTCTCTTAGTTCCATGTCCTGTATGATCTTCATATGGTGCTCTTCCTACATGCATGTCTCTGTGTAAACATTTCCCCTACTTACAAGGGCACGATATATATACTGAGTTACAATTCCATCCCATCCCAGTGTGACTTCATTTTAAGCAATTATATCTGCAAAGACCTAATTTTAAAACAAGGGCACTTTCTGAGGTATTGAGAATTAGGAATTCAAGGAGCCATTTCAGGGAGAATATTCCAGAATGATCAGGAAGAAGACTATATCAAGGCAGATGGTCTACTGTGAGACTGGTTTCAAGGTTGAGAAAGGATTCCAAAAAGTCATGGGGACCATATAATTTATTACCCAATTTGGACTCTTTTAGTATTAAAAGGCCCAATAAAGAATTGTTTTGCTTTAAAGATAACTCTGGACTCTCTTTGGCAACTAGGACAAGGGCCATCCTACATGGTATGATTACAACCACCACTTTGACTGATCTCTACTAATGTTCCTTTCCATTCACCAGAAAGTCATATGGCTTGTTTTATTTTCTGCAAGAAATTTTCTATAGCAAAGGCTATTAGGGCACACAAAATAATTGCTTTGGGCCTGGAGGGCACTTGAAAGTATCTTTCATTTGATAACTCCTTAGACCATTTACAATGGGGGACAACAAAATTATCAGAAGTACATTTTGGAAAGTACATCATTGGAAATTTGTACCTTTACGTAATCTATCTTGGTCCTTATTTTTCCCCATTCCTCTGTGAGTATGTTTTCTTAAAAGCAAAGGTGAACATTTTCAAATTAAAATTCTGATGCTACCATCCCTAAAATTCAAGGGCATGGGAAAAATAAGAAAGAGAGGGAAAACACTATTTGCCAAAGATATGGTCAAGATAATACTGCATCACAATGAAAGCTTTGTGTTATCTGCATGATGTAAAATTATTTCTGATTACCATGTAATGAAGGGGAGTGAAAACAATGGCAAGCCTTCACATAAATGCTGGTCCATCAGCTCCATCCTGCAGCAGGATGGCTATGAGACCTGGCAGCCATAGCAGTCCTTTGAGAATATTAACTATAGGCACCAACGGAGCACACTGAGAAGCAATTTCTCTCCCGGAAGCACCAAAGCCTTTTAAGTAGTTCAGGCTTCACTGTTCACATCCAGTTGCCAAAAAGCAAATGAATTGCCTGATTTGAAAGACATTTCTTTCCTTCTTTCTTTTTTTGGCAGTTCAGATGATCCCCTTGTTTTCCTTATAATCAGGCCCTACAGAATGACATGCCTGTGCACTAACAATTTAAAATAAACAAAGCATGATTTTCGGGTGACCAGCTTTGCCTCAATCTGCTTGCAGGCTGTCCCAAGGGGGTCTACGGAGCTGGCTGCTCTTCTGAATGTCAGTGTGTGGAGGAGAACACCCTGGAATGCAGTGCCAAAAATGGTAGTTGCACCTGCAAATATGGTTACCAAGGCAACAGATGCCAGAAAGGTACGATCTGATGATAGTTTTTCTTTCTTCTCTAATAGTGCTCAGACGTTGTTCAGCATCATATTGTCATTAATTAGTCAAACTATTAATGTCCACAGGAGGTGGGTATGCTTTATTAATCCCTTATTTGTAGGTGAAGAAACTGAGACACAGACAGAGCAAGTTATTTAAAGTTATTTAACCTTGTCTTCTGCTTGCTAGCTTGAGCAAGGGAGGAGGAAAGATCACAAAGCAAAGAATCTTGTCTGAAAAAGATTAAAGGTAGACAATCAGTTCTTTGAACTGAACTAATCAACCAAATCACTGCTAGTTTCCAGAATTAGAGATTTTTTTCTCTATATATCTAAAAATTTATCAAATAAATGCAATTCAAAGCTACTTAGCCACAGAAAATTTTAATATGGTTTTCGTATTGTCCTTTTTCAAATTCCTAGATATTACATAATTTTAAAATATGGAGGGATGCTTACATATAGTATGACTCTAATTATAAGTAACAATAAATATATGCATGTAATTGAACATAAAATTTGGAAAACTGTTCCAAGATGTCAGTAATGTTGTCCCTGTGTTGTAGACTCACAAAGTACTCCTGTAAGTTTTCAGAAAGTCTCACATCATTTTTTAAATCAAATCTTATCAGTAGCAACCTATTTAAAATCGCAGGTTGCAAGTTTCTCTGAACTTTTTCTTTTTCTATAGTACTTGTCATCTTCTAGCATATCACATAGCTTAAATTACTTTTAAATGTCTAATATGTATTACCTGACCTTTCGTTCTAGAATATGAACTTCATGCGGGAAGGATATCTGTACTTTTCTTTCCTAGAGTATCCTACAACCATCCTGACGTAGATATTTTTCAGGAACGGTTGTTTTAAATCAATCTATAAATGTGTATGTTTCCTTTTTTTACTACTTCGACATTTTTCTTATATTATTATCTATTTTGTCTTAATAACTAGTTCCTATTTTATTCAGGGGAAATTATCAAAACATTTTTCTCTTTCATACAAAATACTAAGTAGACAACAAATAAAATCTTAATTGATGGTAACTTATGACACTTTTTGCAATGATTCAAAGGGCAGTCTGGTTGGTAATAAGAAGAAGCTGGTTTGAAAGGGAGCTGTCATCCTCAGGCCATGTGCAGAGGCAAACACTGAGACTGAAAGTTGTCTTTGCCACTCATGTGTCTTTATCTGCTCCTTCCTTCACCTCTTCGTCATCTGCAAGACTTTCGTGGAGCTGAATGAAAAGGGGTAGTGTGACCGACTACTCTAGGTTTTTCTCTGCTGATGGATCTAGAGCCTGTGAGCAGTGATGTCCATTTAAATCTGATGCAGAGTGGGACATGTAGGCAACCAGAGGGCGAGTTTCTGTGAAATAGGGGGAGATGCTTGAGGAAACACTAGGCTGAGACAACGCAAATCTGTCTAACATGGTCTGAGATGTGTCTTACACCACTCACTACATCTCTTGTGCCAGTTGTTTCTAAGCTTACAGTTGGCCCTTTTTAGTGTCCCCACGAGAGAAGTCATGCCCTAGAAATCAGAGCAGGAGATAATTCCATATCCACACACCTGGGTAAATTTAATTTATTCTGATAACATTTTCTTAAAGCAGCCGCTGAATATACTTTATTGAGAAATGCTTCTGAGATTCCCACTGTGAAAGAAAATGACTTGAAAGTATATGTAAATCAGCAAAATAGAGAGGTCACCATAATCACTGGAAAACATATTATTTTTCAATCAGATAACTTTGTCCAATTCTGATATTTCTGTCTAGCCACAAAATGAAATTATGAATCAGACTGGAGTGGGTGAATGGTCTCACTATGATTGGCAGTTGAAATCAAGGCAAAAGGAGCTCTTTTAAGAGTTGTGCATGATGAAAATCAGGCCTATTTTTTTTCCCCCCCGCTCCTTTTTAAAAGAGTGAAGGAGCCCAAGTGCTCTGAGAGCTAGACATACCCTTAAATATCTTAACTCCAGATCAGTGTCTGGATTGCAGATGAATAGTTAATTACAGACTTCAAATTGTTTCAATGGCACTAATGAACAGCACTCTCCACAATCAACACCAGACCTTATTTAGCTTATGAGGAATGACTTCGAAGAACAGAAGAGCTGGTTTCTGCAACTAACCTGTGAAATAGGAAAAAAAAAAAGTGTTTCTTTAAAAAGCCAGCCAGTGCCTTCGGTGTGTGTTGCTTAGTATGTAGCCTGTGGTATTTTGGACTCCATTTTCGGGCAGACCTTTGAGTACAGGAGATCCTGTGGCTCAGCTGAGAACCTTATGTTTACGTAAGAGGTGTATGCAACAATGCCATGTAATGCCATATAAGAAAGAGCTCTACGTCAGATGAACTTCAAAAATCGAACTCTGGTGGTTCTCAAAACGGAGGTTAATTGACTTTCAAGGTGCTGACTGGCTATCATTGAGTAAATTGGGTGTAGTGCTAAGAAACCACTTTAAGAAGCTAGAGGATTCGGTTTAAATCCTGACTTTAATACTTATGAGCTTTGTGATTTACGGTAAGTCATTTGGCCTCTCAGAGCCTCATGTAAAAAAGGAAATGAAGTTGTCATAGGAGGATTTTCATGGAAATATGAGCTAATTTACATAAAGTTCTTAATACAGCGTAAAAGATCAACAAATCAGATATGAACATCCCAGAAAATACAATAGTTCTGTTATTGTGACTCTGTCCAGTACAAAAAATTCTTCATAGTCTGACTTGGTGTGATGTAACTTTCTACAACTGCCATACTTTTGGGAAGGTTACATCATTTTCTCACTGTTGAAGAAATGCTTTCTATCAGATTTCCCTTTGCAGTGGTTTTGATGATCAGATATATGCTAAAACCTCTACCTGAGACCTACCCTGTCATCTGTCCCTTGCTAGTTCAAAAGACATTCAATAAAGCAATCCATAATTTCTCCTTAGCCACCTTATGTATTATACACTTTCATAAAGCTCACCATTTATGAACCTCTGGCATGATTATTGTGGTTTAGATTTTTAAGAAGTGAAGACTGGGAGAAAGGATTTTATGTTTGGGGGCAACTTCTTGAGCACCATCCCTCCTGTGATTCTTTTACAAATTACATCTCATTTTCATGTTTTGTTCTGTGCAATTGCCTCCAAAGATGCATATCAAAATTGCTTCCATTGTTATTGTCTGAAAAACCACATTTTCAGCAAAAAGCCAACCACTGTATCTGTGTTTCCAAAGTGACAAGATATAGCATCATGTTGATTTCTTCAGGGAATATTTTTAGAAGTGTTATAAATCCTCAGGGGCTACTAGAATATTTCTTTCTTTGCAGCTCAAACACACACACACACACACACACACACACACACACACACACACACACCCCAACTCACTTAGGTAACAGCAGAAATCTGTGGCTGTCTTGACTATCTTGGGCTTCATTACAAGTCTGAGCTCTTTTCTTTCTGGCTTATTTTGCCAGCCTGCCCTGAGGGCCTCTGGGGACCAGAATGTCGCTTCTCCTGTGGATCCTGTGTGAATGGAGGTCATTGCAACAAAAAACCTGGCAACTGTGACTGCGCTCCTGGTTACACAGGAAAATCCTGTGCCTTGCTTGCTTAAGTGAAATATTTAGAAAGGATAACCAACAATCAATGAAATCATTAGCTTTATAAACTCTTACTCACCTACCTGATATACAAGGCATTGATATTATGGCATATATTTTGACAATCTATTGTGCAACAAGCCACCTCAATCCTATGTAGTTTCAAACGATGATTTATCATTTCCCCTGATTCTGTGGTTGACAAGATGGGTTTTTCATGTGGTATCTCATGGCTCTTTTGTCAGGGTGATTATCTGGGAACATTCTTGCCTGGCCTCTCAACCAAGGAACCTGGCTTTTCCCCTGCATAGCATTCTACATGGTTAGCTTGGGTTTCCCCACAGCATAGCAGTTTCAGGACAGTATTCCAAGTGAGAGCATTCCAACGGCATGAGAATAGAAACCACAAGATGTCAAAAAGCCTAGCTTCGGAAACCATAAACTATCACTTACACCACATTCTGTTGGTTAAAGCAAGTCACAAGACAAGCTGTATTTGGGAGGAGGAGCCAGAGATTCCATTCCCTGATTTAGAAGAGTAGCAAAATGTCATTGCCGAAGAACTGCGAGCTGGGGGGTATGATTACAGCTATTTTTGAAACAAATTTACTACAGTATAGAATTTAAACTTATTGTGAAAAGATCTTTAAGAAATCCTAGACAGGAATTATTATTCTTGTCAGAATAGAAGCATATTATGGACTGCTAAAGAGTGATTAACTAAATTGAACTTATTTCAAAGAGCCAGTAGAGCTTACTATCCTACCATGACCTTTGCTGGTTGTCATTCTTACTTAAACTTACGCTAACCCTGGCTGTGTTATTGTCTCCATCCACAGTGAAACAGAGTGGCCTGGAAGACTGGAGCGATGTGGGCAGGGTGATAATGAGGGCATTTTTATGACTATTTCCAATTTGTCTAATACAGATTAGCAAGAGTCTGCTGTTTGTGATTGTCTCCCATTTTATAGAGGTAAACTGAATTGTGTTCTGAATTAGCTTACAGTGCTTAAGACTTCTTCTAAACCAGCAAACTAAAACCAGAAATAGAAGCCACAAATATAAAAGACAACAGAGAGAAAGTATTCAGCACATAGCTAATCATCTGATCATTGTGGGAAATACATTGCTGTAGCCCCTAAGGATAATCCTCAAACAAAACTGATAAGCTAAGGTCTTTGCCTGAAAATTTTTCTATATATAAGTATATCATTTTTATTTCCAGACTGTCATTTTGACATTGTTGACAATCATTTAAAATACTATAAAAGTTCACCAGAGCAGCTGTCAACTGTCCCTTAACCTACTCATTTGTTTTTTTAAAAAAAAGCTTAAAGGTAAAGATTTACATATTCAAAAGGTACATACTATTTCCACAGTGAAGTGACA